ACCTGGACATAAAACAATGGAGTCGGTGAAGCTTCACTACCCGCAACAAACAAAAGCACAACCAATTTTAGATCAGTAACAAGCAGAAGTAATTGGAAGTAAATTCTCGAAAATGCTAGTCCAGGGCCATTTCGACATCCTGGACGGCAGCTTCCTGTGCAGCCTGTTGTGGTCCGGGTGTGCCCTGCGCGGTCTGTCGTGATCCCGATGCACCCTGCATGCTCTGCGACGACCCTGTTGTTGTTTTTCTGCAAAAGTATAGAAAATTCCTTCGGTACGAACTGCTATACGGATTTGCCGGATTTGGTTAAACCTATTCGACAACAAAACGGCATTATCGTGTTGGAAAAGCCAAGACTGTTGAAAAGATTCTTTCAGGTACGAAATACGGAAAACGGGCCCGATTCATTTTCCGCAGTGCTGGGAGCGGCCTGTGTTATACTGGTTCAAATTCAATTTGCACAGGGAGGATCAGTGAAAAACAGGTGAAACTGAGGACAAGCCCACAAAAAAGGTGAGTGTTTCACGTACTTTCCCTTGCTGTCCTTGCGTGTACGCTTCTGTCGCTTCTGTCTTAATACTTCCATTGCTTTCTCGTGCGCCTGTTTTTCTTCATCGTTCATTTCGAGATCAGCAGCTGTGATGTCGAAATTCGATAATGCCTAAAATTTGATTCTTTTGGATCAAAATTTCATAGTGCCGCCAGCCTAGAGCTTTTCAGAAAATCTCTGTTAACAAACCATTGTGAAGGGTGCTGGAAGTTCGATTTTTCTTGTCACATAACAAGCGTACGTCTCTATAAGATCCAACAGCTTCTGAAGACCCTGCTTTAACACCTGAAAATCATTTAACGTTTGCTATACAGAGTATTCTTTCCCCAGGAGAACTCTGAGAGAGCCAGAATTCAGTTCCATTCTTAGTGCATTACATTGCTGTAAAAAAATTATGCCTTAAAATGAAACTGTGATAAGTTTAAGTTTCCAAAAAATCAGATTCCCCGCTGTAAATGTACACCATATAGAAGTTTTGGTATACGAGAACAAACAGTCAGAAACTACACGATTGGGGAGAAATCTAGGGCAGAGAGATGTAAGCAAGAAAAGCTCTGTGATAGATTAAAGCACTTTATGCAGCAGTAATCGACTTGCCCTGTAGTTGTCAATCATATTTCTTTTGCTTTTCAGTAACTAGATTCTTGCCGCTTTCGGCACAATAGGATTAGAGGATGGGGATAAAAAGAAGCGTGACGAAAGTGCGGCTACCCGGAGGGATTCCAAGAATACCCAAAGGAGGAATTTCATGTTAGTGAAGTTACTGGGATGGCCTCTAGTGACAATGCACAGCCAAGCTAAGCTCGATAGAACATCATGCGACATCTGTTTCAAGTGAATAGCTGATGTAGCAAATAAAAAACAAGTGAAAAAAGCCGACGAAGCAAGCTCTATGGTACTAATTTTACGCGCATTCAATAGAAGGATGGGTAGAGCTAAGATTAAATTTAATTCAAGACTAAATTGTACAAAATAAGACTGAATACGAAATTACCGAATTATGGGGGCTGAATCCAAGAGCTTTATGAAAATACCAGATGGCTCGATCAATATCGCCAGAACATGCCGTTGCCAATGCTAGTCCAGAAATCCCGTTTGACTTGGTCGGACACATCGTTAATGATTTTCTAACAAAACGCAGCGCGTTATTAGGAATATTCAGAAATGCACAAAATGCGAAAAAAAAAGACGTTCTCAGAGCAGCAGGCTAAACAGGGTATACTTGAATGAGGTACACTCTCAGATTTCAGTTACTGGGGAGAAATTTTCGCATTTTTTTCCAGTACAGCTCCCTAGTAAATAATTTATTAATTTATACAAAAGATGATAAAACTGTAACAGACTTCTCTGGTCAGTTATCGTTCCATTGTGGCACATCGTGCCGTCAACGCAGCTGACAGTTTTTCCAAGCTAGCTGTATGGGAAGTTGCATCAATCTTGTAGTCAGCTTGACGGTGAAATTGACGTTTGCTTGTTTCGTAAAAACATCAGTTATGGCGCTGCTTTCACTTATTCAATAGAATATATCAAAACAAGGACCCGAATAACTCACTGGTGGAATTTTTTGGCCTCCTCAAAGAGGCCCAGCTTGCGCTTCACATGTCCAAGATTGTTGACCAGCGGCTCCCAAAAATCACTGATCGGTCGACTGAGCAAATCGCAAACACTGACACTTTCATCTGTCACTCCAAAAACTGAGAGAAGTGCTTTCGTGAAAAATGTTTCTGCATCTGAAAAAAAAGAACGTGGATGAATAAAAATTTGAAATAGGGGATGTTACGTATCGCTGGGTGGTATTCCCGAAAAAAGATTACTAGCATGCGCCTGGTTGGTATCTAGCTGAGGTTTACAGTTTACGATCAATGAGACTGAAATGTCTTGTTCCGATACATCAGTGAATCCTAGCAGTATTACTAGAATTTGGATAACTACATCGCTTCAAGCAATTTTAGTCAGCACTGCTTTCAGGACAGCATTTTCTCACTGATACACGGATTGCTTCAACAAAAAAGTCATACAGAGCTGAGCGTGCCATTTGCAATTGTAAAAACCAACTTTTCCATTCTTTTTTCATGAAACAGATGCATCCCTCTTCATGCAGCACAAGCGCATTTTCGCCAGCTATTTCAGCCGCGTCCTTCAGGAAATCCTGCGCCAATTTTGTGTTGTTTGCATATGCGTATTCCAGCCCTATGTACATCATCGGTTCAAAACATCCTTCCAGAACACGAGATGCCTGGAACGAAATCTAAGTATAGAAAGATTTATAAGTATGTGGCTTCGGAAGCAGAACCACGGCCCTGGAGTTAGCAGTTCCTTTCCATAACTCTTTGGCCATGGAGTACAACTTCATATCAATCGAAAGAGGTAAAATTTTTGCAAAAGTCAAAAATTGGAAAGCTTGTGGCAGTGGTCTTAAGATGCGCTTCTACAAACACTCACGCTGTATTGTTGCGCGCTGGGTATGTGGCGGTCCAGCCAAGTTTACATTCTTCACTAAAAGTAATTCATATGAACTATGGGAATCCATCGACCGCTAGCCCACTGGAAGAATGCCTATTAGCCGCAAAAGTAAAAAAAAAAAATTACCCTGAGAAAGCAATTCATTGCTTGCTCATGCTCCGATTCCGCCGAAAGCGCATGTCCAAAAGCTAGCCAACCTTCACCAAAAGAACCATTCATTGTCGTACATTTATCTAAATAGTCAAAAAAAAACTGTTTTGGCTCATTCCAAAAGTTAAGCCCTTTCCCCCTCCCCTCCATATCCACTCTCCAAAAAAAAAAGACAACTGGAAGTAGCTCAAGTGACAACACGTCTCAACAATCAACTTTCCGTTAGCAAGGCTTTTGAGGTTGCCTAGAAGCAAGCTGTGTCAGTTTTCGGCTTCCTACCATGCACCAGTATCAACTTCAAAGACAGTCGACAAGACGCCAGCGCACGTAAAATTGAAATGTGGAACATACGGAAGAAATTTTTTGCCGCAGCCAGATGTCCAATGCTGTAGTAATAGCAGCCAACCGTGTACCAACTTATCTCATTGTCCGGCTGAGTGTCCACCAAGTGATGGCCAAGAATGAAAAGATCATCAGATTTGTGCAGCTGCGCAAGCACCACCACGTGAATCGCCAAACAATCCTAGAATCTGGCATTTATTAGCTGTGTATGGTAGCTCAATACGAAATGGCTTTGGAAAACTGGCGGCTGTGGAAAACGAAAATTCGAGTGCTCTTTTACTGCCCAGAGATGGTATCGTTCGGAAGGTGGTGGCCGAAATATAGTAAGAACTGGAAATGACCAGCCTTGCAACTGCTTCTGACGGAGGACCGCTGTTATTGGAATGCCTTCAGAATACGAAATGGACATTGGGACTGCTAATATCATCATAAAGTCAAGCAGCACTGGTCAAAGCAACTGGAAAAGTTGGCAGTTTGCACAGCTGAAGAACGAGACAATAAAAATGCATCTGATCAAATCATTCAGGCAAGAAATCAAGCAAAAGTTGAGAAGGCTACAAGTGAGATGTAAAAATTTACAAAAACGATCGTGTACATTACTGTGCACATGCGAGAAGCTCAAAACAAAGAAGAACAACGACTGAAGCTAAATAATACTTTCATAAAAAAAAAAAAAAAATATCAGAAAAAAGAAATGAAAAAACCTGAAAAAGGCCAGATTCCTCCATAATCTTTTTGGTGATGCTGTAGGCGCCAACGAGATCACAGTTATGATAGAGATAGGCAGCTCGAGCAGTCTGGATAGATAAATCAGTAATCAGCGCCTGCGACACAGCGCTATTTGTTGCAATCTGCATAGATGTAATAGTCAACAAAGCATGGTAATAATCATGATTTATTGAGATAATGATAATCGTTACGTATTAGTCAATCGTGAACATTTGCGGGATCATTCACTAACCAAGCATTATCACGCATCGTCCAACCTCACTGACGGTCAGTCACAATGATGTATTACTGCGTATCTCATGGGTACCACCTCATTATCATTGTCTAGAAATGGCAGTGCTCGAGATGAGGTGATGATGCACATCAAGGAATCTCGAAATGGCTAAAGCCTTGTCAGTTGCTTCTGTCTGAGGAACCTGATCCCTTCAGGAATGAAACGGAGGCTAGGATTGCTAGCAAGCTAGCCAACAGGAGGAACGGCACTGGTCAAAGCAACTGAAAAAATTGGCAGCCACACAGACGAGGAATTAAACTATGAATTGTCAACTGTCCCAGGTATTTCAAGTAGTAACGAGACAATTTAACGATAAATTTGAACACAGTATAAAATCATATACCGTACGGAAAAACCACGAATTATTAAAATCGTTGGAATAAGAAATCAGAAAAAAAAA